AAAAACACTCAGCTCTGGCGGTACTTAACGCGAGGAAATGCACGGGCACTGAACTCCAGCACGGCGATGTACATCACGCAACTAAAGATTTGGTGGTATCGACTACATTACAATTCAACGCGTCTCGGAAGCTGTTTCGAATGCGATTCCCGCATTGTGGAGGATTGTTTGGTGTGCASTAGGATTGTATCAGCAAAACCTGAAAAGATACGAGATCGCAGCCAATTTACGACTCGAATCACGTCTCAAAACCACGGATTTGCTTCCGAATGAATGAAAAATCTCTGTTCTCCGAGAGAGGAGCTATGGTTTGTTGATACCATGGATCACGCCCGAKTGTATTCAGGTACAGTTGTACTGATTCCGACACCACGACTCAAAGATCCTCCGTCAACAATATTAGAACAACTTCTTTGTCTGTCAGTTCACTTGCTGTCACCATGGTCGATGCCACCATTTGCCTCACAAGGTAGTAGCGACTTCAGTTTTTCCGTAGAACAAAAAGAAAATACTTAMCTTATCTATCCACTTTAAAGAGTACGTACTGGTACCTGGTACTGTAAACCATGCTCTCCTACTAACAAAATTACCGTAGTCTGCTTTTTGAGGTATGGTACGTACGTAGTGCTCGTACGAGAAAATTTCGAATTTCGTTAGCTYATGTCAGATGAGTCGAGTTTTCCTTCATGTTTTTGGAATGGGGTTGCAGGGGTGGTGGGTGGTATGGTGGTACCGGCAGGTACGGTACCATACCGTAAGCTCCATACTCGTACCAGTTTTAGGTTTCATCCTTCCTTYACCGTTCTCCGTGTTGCGCGCGGTAGCGTAGCGTGCAATGACGAGATGCTCAACGGTTTCAACCGTTTTAAACAGTTCATAGTATCTACGATTTWAAAAAATAAAACTGATTTTAACTGTAAGAAATAGACCGATTAAAAAGTAGACGACCATGCGCGCTCAGAAAACTGAAAAATAGAGTTCTATTTTTCTACTGCTTTAGACGTTATTCTACGTGGGTATCTTTGGCTTCTTCAACTCAAAAAACAGTTCCTCTTCGAATCAAAATTCTCTTCTTTGAAACCAAGGGCGGACTCCCCTCACCCAAAACCGGTGTTCTCGTTATCGGTACGTAGGTARMTATCGATACTCCGATTCCACGCAAAATGTCTCTCTAGGAATCCTCGTAAGAAAGAATGAACAAATGAAGAAGAATGAACAAATAAAGAGGAATAAACAGAGGAACCAACCTACGATAAAGCTATCGATCTCAACCGAACACCGCTCTTGTTAGTAGGCTAAGGGATTGATCCAACAGCAGAGATAGCTTCCGTTCCGAATTCAGGAGAGATGACTTGCTTTCGATCGGCGTCCGTGTCGAAGAGAGCGACAGAGTCAACAATGCTWTTMATGGTCCTGGCGATGTTGTGTCGCTTCGTTGTGCTGTTSTCCGCTTCTTCCATCTTGCCTGTTTCGGTTTTGGCAGCGTCGTCCGCGGCGACAGCAYCCMCATCATATCTAAAGACACAAGACAGCAGGACGGCAGTGGAGCATGGCGGGAACAAAGACAACAAAAACTACGCAAGGGAAACAAACTCAAGGTTTGAAAGTTCTGACACGACCAAAAAAACTAGCTTTCACAACATTGTTGTTCTCGATCAAACGAGAGTTTGTTTGTCGACGAGAGGAGGCCAGCAAGAACTGCAGCCCCAAACTTCTGACGAAGACGTTGAATCAACTGTCACAGACAGTAACAGTGACGAAWATGTATCGGAAGWGAAAGAATACAGCGAGACCGATGGCAACTACGATGACGACGATCTGTTTTTCGACGACGATTCRTGCGAATATAACGACGACGAGGYWGTTGATTCGGAAACCAACAAGCGACATCGTTTCCGCAAGAAGCGAAAACTTCGATTCTTGAATCGCATCGTCAAGGTCACTTCTCTCTTGCTACGAAAGGATGTCGAGGCGACACTAGACGCGTACCAGGGAACGCTGTTCCGCAAGAAAGAAAGGCAGGAGAAACAAAAATCATACAGCACGGGACTGCAATACGACGACAATGAGGAAGATGACGAGCGAATCACACAGCAATCAGATCTGACACGGCCCGGTCGGTACGTTCATATCGTCACCACCGCGGCGCTACCTTGGATGACAGGAACGGCCGTAAATCCCTTGCTGCGTGCGGCGTATCTGCACGAGCGCCTCGAATACATCAACAATAGCAWCAACTACAACGCAACCGACAGCAACACCACCRAAAGTGCCACTGGAAATGGAAAATCATCGTATGTCACACTGGTGATTCCCTGGCTAGAATTGCCAGAAGATCAGCGCAAGGTCTACAATGGACGGGTGTTTGATTCCAAGGACGAGCAAGAGCTTTATGTCCGCAATTGGCTGGAGAATTCGGCAAACATGCCCGGTGCCGCGGCCAATCTGAATATCGTCTTTTACAACGCTCGTTATCACGTCGGCCTTGGTTCTGTCTTTGCCATGGGTGACATCCTCAGGGAATTGCCAACCGACGAGCTAGACGTTTGTGTCCTTGAGGAACCMGAACATCTCAACTGGTTTCGGGCTCCTTCTATGGAATCCTGGACCAAGCGGTACAACTACGTGGTGGGCATCGTTCATACCAACTACGATCAGTACGCATCCCAACACTATTCGGGTTTAATGACCGCTCCGGCCATTCGATTGATGAGCGCGGCAATGGTCCGGGCCTATTGCCACAAGGTTATTAAACTTAGCGCTGTYGTCCAGGAKTTTGCGCCCGAAAAGGAAGTTGTGAGCAACGTCCACGGTGTCCGGGAAGAATTCATTGTGGATTCTGTTGTTAGCGTGGAAACAGAGGAAGAAGTCRCAATCGCAAGAGCAGAAAACATCAGCGACGATGTGACTACTAATGTCACCGATTCCTTGGCTCGGAACGAATCATCGTGTAGCACCGAGGAGCCATCTCCACCACAAGCTGAGGTATACTTTATCGGAAAACTACTCTGGACGAAGGGGCTCGATATTTTGCTCGAATACCAAGAGTTGTACAAGGGTGTTGTTGGAGAATATTTTGAAATCGATATCTATGGGAGCGGACCGGATCAGCGTGAAATTTCTCGCGCKTATCTGGGGCGACAGYCATTCAAAAAAAGTAATAATCAAAGGAATCAAAGCCAAAGATTCGCGAAAAATACGAAGGGTATGAAGACGGTATTCGAAAAGACTTCTAAACATGCCTTTGTCCGGGCATTCAAGTGGGTGAATCGACGAAGACGAAGSAAACGCAGCAAGTGGAACAAACGAAACATTGATAACACGACGAAGACTCAGAACTATGACAACGATACAGGCCATACGTACAGCGGCATCGACGACGAAAACAAGCGCACCATCGCAATCGAACGTATAAACAATGATGTGATGGATGTGATGGARTCGCTCCCTGTGAAAGCCAGGGAATCCATTGATGGCATGTCCTCGCAATTAAAGGAATCCTTGAATAAGCTTAGCGAAGACGTCACCAAAGCCCARCAATCCGTTGTGGGTCTTCCAGCGAAGACACGGAAGGTCGTKAACCAGCTGATTGATGACATTACATCGAGGGCCAACACCTTTCCTCTWCCCCGTAGTCTCTATGAGTTTCGCCGCCAGTCCATTCCGGCCACGTTTCCTGGCCGGGTTGACCACGCGATTCTCAAGGGTAACGCCACGGACGCTTCTCAATACAAGGTTTTTGTCAATCCCTCCGTGTCGGAGGTCTTGTGTACCACCACRGCAGAAGCGCTTGCAATGGGAAAATTCGTCATCATTCCGGTGCACCCTTCGAACCAGTTCTTTCTAAACTTTCCRAATTGCCTCGGTTACCGAACCCCATACGARTTTGTTGCCAACCTGCGCTGGGCTCTGACGCACGATCCAGTCCCACATACGGAGGAAGTAAGGCAACGATTTACTTGGGAGGCGGCGACGGACCGCTTTTTGGAGGCTTCCAGCATCACCCACAAGGAAGCAAGAGACCGTGAACTGCTGGGCAGGTCCAAAATTGACGAACGCATTGCTTGGTTGCACAGAGAGATGGGAAAGGGTGCCAAGGGAGATATCCTCCGGAAGGCACTGGGGGCCGGGCCCGTCGCCGGCCAGGTCCAGTACGAAATGAGGCAATCGGGAAATGCTACTGCAGCTGATAACGAGGAGGAGGACGGCCTGGAAGAGGGGGGCTTATCTCGAAAGTTTCGAAACTCGGTCTTCGTGAAAGCCCTCCTSGAAGCCACCACTTTCACTTCAATTGATTAGTGAGGGAGGTGGAACAAATACCACCAAGTCTACTTTCATACCCCCAGCAGTACCCAASTGGTTCTTTGKCCGCATATTTTCCTCGAGACATCTTTCTCTTCGAAATGCAACGAAGAAGTCAACAAATCCAAGATGGTTCGATTCCGTGCCGCATCAGGGCCACGTGCCCCAGCAGGTTGGGATTCGCCTMTGTGCTACCAGTAATCTCCTCAAAGAGAGGTACGACCCATATTGCCGTATGTCTCGAAAGCACTCGTACTCTCGTGCTTCGAGATGGTCAGCCTGCGCTAACTTCTCACTTGATACCATCCACGCACGGCAAAACTACTTCGACCCCAAAATCGAATTTTTTCGAAAGAGAACTGAGTTTTTCATATCGACTCGAGTACAATCCGTCAAATAATGGTTGTGCTCACAGAAAATGATGGGGCTTGCATCTAATCGCTTCTATGAAACAGAAATGGCAGAATAATATCAACAAGGAGSACGATTGAACTTGCAGTAATCATTTATAGAGATACATTTTTTATGAAATTTTTCGTGGGCGCCGACTTCCATTATTTTTGAATGAAATTGCCATCGTCGTGTTCCTTTAACGAATCGATTTCCAAAYACAATTCTTTCCATTCGGTCTTTGAGCCTTTTTATCGTTGGTGCCTAGTTTGAACCATTGTGTTTCTAGAACAGAGTACGGTGTGGTACTCGTACTGTGTGTTGGGGTTATCGTTAGTTTTATKAGGGATAGGAGTTACGAGTACATCAATCACATTTGCTCACGACTGGATCACGACCTTGTTGAATGACGTCTAAAATACTAGTAGTAGGAATGAGAATACAATAATTCTGTAGTTTGTACTACGGTACGGTTAGTAATCGACGTCAACAGTATCATTCAAGTCTTTTCGTATCGTACCGAAACAGAAGAGAATTTTCTATGAGAAAATGATTCRTAAATCGAGTCTATTTTTAGTGCACCGAAATAGGATCAGGAGAAAATGAAAATGTTTTGGTTGGATAAGAATGAACTATTTCACTGCCTTATTGTTCTTCTTCTGTTTGAACATTCTCTTCCGAAGAGGGCTCTAGAATATTCCTAACGTGAATATGCCAATAGGGCAACTGTCGGATTATTTTGAAGTGCCTCGTAATCAAAATTTTGAATATTATCGCCAGAATGATGACGATTCTAGGTTACAACACGTAAGTAACGGTTCAAAGCGTTAAATTACTTCTTGCTATACAATTAGTACTGCGGTTACAGTTAATGAATACATTGCGGAAAATTCAGCGCGCACGGCACATGATAGTAATTCACTTCAGATACGGTACGAACTTCGACTGTTGGGGAGCGTTTGGGGCTCTTGTGACATGTTAATCTATTTCCTACCGGTGACAACAGACTGTTGCTGTAGTGTTCCTATCGAATCTTACGAAGCTCCGCTACTTCTCCAACATCTTTCCTTACTGTACCATCTACACTAGAATCAACMATTGCAAATCAAGCTTGTTTGCCTTTGGGATACGAACAGCGGGAAGAAAACAAAACAAAACCAAGCGAAATGGACGGAATCAACGACGACGAAGACAACGGCAACTACGACGACACCATCGTCGCAATTGCGATCGGCACCCACTCCGACATGGACATGGACGACGATGGTTCCGATATCGATGCGGCCCTAGATGACATGCTCGCAAACCCCGACGAGGTAGACCGCGAGGAAACCTGGCTTCGCCGTTGCGTCGGTGATCTCCCGGACGAGATGGGAGTTGACTCGCCTCGGTTTGCGAGCCTCCCCGCCGGCGTTCAGATCAAGCTCGTTCTCGAGCTGAGGGATCGCGAAAAGGCAACCCTCCTCGAAAACCTACGGGAGTGCGGAAGCAGGGTAGAAAAGCTCAAACAGCAGCTCTACGCATCGGAGGACAGACGGATGGAACTCGAGCACGACCTGGATACGGAAAACCAGGAGATCGCAGAAATGAAGCGCGAATTCCAGGGGATGAAGGTGACGTTCAATGCCCATGTCAGCGAAACCCAGCGCATCCGGAAGGAATTGCTGGTACAGAGAGATCGGTTGTCGCGAACGATCGAASTACAAAAGCAACAGGAACAACCGACACAAGCTGTGGAAGAACAACAACAWTTGTCATCCGCGGACTCTACTGGTGGTCCCGATTCCATTTCAGCCATCGGTTTGCCGCAACTCATCGACAATCAAGGCGCATCAAGAACCAAGAGTAAGATCGCAMTTGAATTCGAACGAAAACTTGAAACGAATCCGCGGTACCGAGAAGAATTTGAGCGATTCAAAGAATTTCAAGACTACTACCAGGAGATGAAGCAGAACCTGGATCCGAAGGATGKCAATACTAAGAATCTAAATGAAGACTACCGAAAGATGCTTGAATTTCAGCTCGGGTACGAACGATTGCTTTTTACGAACAATCAAACTACGTGAACTTTTCAATGAATAGAAGGTTGGTGCACTCATTGCATTGTCTATACAATAGATTTCTGTAGTTGCTGGCTGCAAACCAGACGAAGAATTCTACAAAAATCWAAACCAGTTTCCGTGCGAATGGACAGACGAACCAAACAAGTTCCTATTTTCCTCCAGGTTATGGGTGCTCGATCCTATTCTTCGCACCGTCGCAGGTCATTTCTCCTCTATTTGAACATAACAATCGGGGTCGCTTCTCTACTTAAGTTGACTGTGAGCAGTTATTGATTACGCGGAACGCAAAATGCCACGAACGCACGAAAGCTTTTGGGTACCTCAWGTACTTTGAATCTTGTCAGATTGCAGTTGCTGCCGCAGTAAAGTATTACATTTTTGYAATTATCATCACGGCCCTTCGGCGGAACATCTTTTCTGGGATTCTTTCGGATTAAATTCTGATCATCCATATATRGCCATGGATACACCATAGTCGATCATCGTCAGAGAACGATTACCTTTTGACAACGATGATGTGTAGAAGCAACAACAAAGCATGTCGTTGTTGATCCCCGTAATATACCCTCATCGTCTTAACGCGASTGGTATAGTGATTCTTAAACTAATTTGCAAAAGAATTTAACAATRTGTACTGTATGAATTAAATAGACCCATTCATTGCGTTCCTTGTCAATCGTCTTCGCTGTCTTCGCTCACGGTCACCAAAAGGGGTGGAAATGAGCGCTGGTGGTGGTTGCGATGGCTTCTCAAGAGCTCTTTTTTCGTCAAGACCGCTTCTCTGCACAGACCGGGCCCCCGCGCCGCTTTGTTTCCCATGCTATCGCTGCTGRCATCGGAGGTATCCGAGGTAGCAGATGTTGCGGAGGACGAAGACGAAGAATAGCACAGCGTTTCTTCTCCGTCATATTCCCTCTCTTCTAGTGACACAACTACGGATTGTGCGTCAACCTGTAGCAGTTGGGACCGAACGATGTCGCTTTTGTTTTTTCTCGTTTCAGAAAGTTCTTTCTGTAAGCGAAAAGCGCGCTCTTCGGCATCGGCCTGCATGTCCATTCGTCGTTTTCGCTCCATCTTCAGCTCGTCCATCTGGGACCTCATGTTCTGTATGGTGACCAAGCTGCGMAGCTCGYGCTCAGCGTKGTTGTGCCTTAGACTGGACATGCTTCGTTCCAGGGAATCGCACCTGGATTGAATGCGACTGTTCTGCTCTTTCAATTTGTTAATTAGACAAGATTGTGTCGGCATTCCAGTTWCGTCTTTCTTTTCGACGGGGGCTTGTTCCGTTCGATCAATTTCGTCGCCTAGTAGGTCRTTTTCGTCGYTTCCCTCRMTCGTCGAGATTGGTGTGTTGTCTTGCTCTTTTYGWTGCAGCTTTGTTTTCTCGAGTTCCATGSAAAGATCGGCGATGCGTCGTGCATTTTGTGTAAGCAAGAGACACGTTTCTTCGTTGACGACTGCGCTTTCGCCATAKTTTGGTCCAATCGGAGGTTGTGCCATGGAATGGATCRCATCCATGAGCTCCGTTATAAGCATGTTTTGAACGTTGGTTTTGATTTTATAGCGTTGGCAGCTTCTTTCTGCTTCACGAAGTTTCTCTTCTAGCTCCAGGTTTCTATTCGAAAGAGATAGCAGCCTTGTCTTGATCTCGTTCCGAGTCTTCATCGTTGGTTTTCGATGMGTCTTTTGTTCTTTCGTAAGGATCTTCCGCAACTCAGTGCTAGGGATGTGGTTCTGTTGTAATAAGTTTTGTCAAGTGTTGGGTGAAATTGGAKAGAATCGGTATGATAAAGATTCCATGAGGTGGATCGATCGATTCTTCCGTACCGTTGCCGCGATTTTCAAGGGAAGATAAATAGCAAGAGCCAGAGGGAGGGAGGCGGGAACCAAAGAAGGCTAATAACGTCATCTGCAGTCAGTCGCGAAATTACATGAAAACTGAAAACATTTTTTGAACATCTCACTTAGGAGGTACGTACGTAGTACGTTCTTGAAACGTACGCTATGAAGCTATCACGTACCACTACCGGCCGGTAGGCCATCATTCAAAAGGAACACGATTAGATTCGGTGTTGCGCATTTTGATTGGATGGTTTGGGAATGGTAGATTTGGAGAAGACCCGTGCCATCCACAAAACTTTTTTTACGGACATGCGCCATATGACTATGACCCGGTCGGAAAATAGTGGTAAATTCATTGGTACGTACGAACCATACGTCCAATACAAAACTACGAACTTGGGCATCAGCAATGAGCATTCAGAATGGATATTGGAAATTGTTGAAGGACAGACGTTCACGCGCGTGTCCACCGATCACAAAATACATAAAATACATGTCAAGTGCATATTGATGTGAAAATCTTCACATCAGAAGTATGAAGAGTCAACAGAATCCCAAGGGTTTTCTCGATTGATCTCATACTTTTCAATTAATCTAACCAATAGGGAAGAATTTATACATTCAGACATTTCTCTTTCAGGTTTCGCGCTCTTAATGACGTAGGCATACATCGTCATAACTACGTCGAATCAACATTAATTGAAAAGTACAACACTGTTTACACTGTGGCTCACGCGAAAGTGCAGCGATAGCTACAGAACTGATCCAAGGATCAAAAGGAAGTCAATCCAAGGATTGCCTGATCAAGATGGAAGCAGGAGGGGACAAGAGACTCACCTCCGGTGACAACACCGAAAAGCACCCGGTGAAACTCGAGGATATTTCCTCATCAAAAGAGTGGTCTAATAGACCGAAACAAAGAACACAAACAACACATACAATGACACCAAGAAAGAACACTGATTTAAACACTACCGGAAAGCGATTCACGGGACATAACCGTGGTGACCTGGAAGGTATTGTACTCACGGAAGACGGCGGTCTAACACAGTTCACGGAACTACAGAAAAGGGTAAGAACACTAGGAGGATCCAGATACATGCCCAAGGTGGGAGTGTCGATCAAGCTGCTCAAACGATTCACAAGACTGGATTTCATGGTGAAGGAGCCTGATCCGAAACAATGGACTGTGGACGGAAAGGAAATAACAGCTGTTAAAACCTGTCTCATGAGGATGTATGATGAGGAGATCAAAATGTCAGCGAAGACATTCACCGCATACACACACGACATGGAGAAGCTGTATGTTGTGGTCCTTGGACAGATTGATGAAGGAATGTAGGAAAAGATGAGGGGATCGAGCAAATGGAAAGAGATTGACGAAACACAGTGCCCAGTGGAACTCCTCAAGCTCCTCAGGGACATCTGTTACCAAGGGAACCAAGCAAAGGTACATCCACTAACATATGCGATTAGGGCTCTCCGGAAGCTCGTATGCTCACGACAGCGGCTGAATGACGGAGTGACCTACGTACAGTCAATCACACAGCAGCATGATGTCCTGGAGGCAATTGGGGGAGGCATATTGTGTCCAATTGCCGTTAAGTACGAGCTCGAGACCAACGGGGAAGAACACGGTGGAATCACATACGACCAGTACAAATTGTTAGGGGCCGGAGACGCCAGAAAAGCAAAGATTGATAGGTCTGCAAAGCAACAGCTCCTGGCGACTCTGGTGGCAGAAGGATGTAACGAGGATAGTAGTATCCTAAAGGAGACGATAGAGCATCAGTACAATTTGCAGACAAATAAATATCCAATGACAACAACGACAGCCCTAGAAATGCTGAACAGTTTCAAAGGGAGCAGGAAAAGGAACAGCGGCAACAATAAGAACAGTAGAGCTGGCAAATCACTAGCCGGGAAAACTTACCATGAGGCAACAACATTCGTAACCACAAGCAATGTTTCAGCAGCGGAGGATGATCATGACCCAGATAACGAGGAGGACGAGGAGATACCACTGACCAGCCACCAACTGCTCATGAAGGCAGTTGAGTCCAGTGAGGACCTCGGAGATGCGGAAGCAAGTTGCTTCTTTCAGCGAGGAGTGGTGATCCCAAGCAGCAGGCCTACCAGCAACACTAAGAGCTTGAAGCACGACATCTATCATTACAGTAAGAATGTGGAACACATGTTTGCACAGCGGATCCACCAAGGCGATGGAGGAGTGAACCCAAACTGGATCCTGCTGGATAGCGAGTCATCGTGCAATCTAATAGCCAATCCGCGATTGCTGAGGGACATTAGAAAAGCCCCGAATGGACAAACAATGTACATATACTGTAACTCAGGGGTAGCCCACACGAACCTGATCAGGGACCTCCCTGGCTTCGGTGAGGTGTGGTTCTATGCAGACGGTATAGCCAACGTGCTGTCACTTGCCCTTGTCTCTGACCGGTTCCGGGTGACCATGGACACTGATTGTGACAATGCGATACACGTACACAAACCAGGCGGGGGAACACAACGTTTCCACAGATCCAGATGCAATCTATACTGCTGTGACCTCACAAAAACAGCTGGAACCATCCTTGCCATTACATCAGTCGAGGGACGGCAAGCCGAGTTCTCAGATCTGGACTGCAGACGAGCAATGAAAGCAAGAAAATTGCAGGAGGAGATCATGGGTTTCCCAACCACAAAAGCCCTGGTGAACATGGTGGAAAACAAGCTGATAAACAACTGCGGGGTAACACGGCGTGATATACTCAATGCAGAGCTTATCTATGGAAAGCACACGAGCATAGTGAAAGGAAAGACTGTGAGGCGACAAGGCGGGCACATCCGCAAGGACACCTCACCAGTGCCACCAGACGTGCTGGATCGGTACGGAAGCGTGATGATTCATGTGGATATCATGACAGTCAACGGGATACAGTTCTTTCATTCAATCTCCCGGCATCTTCGCTTCCAAACAGCTTGAGCAATAACCAATGCACGGCAGAAGACACTGTTGGACTGTGTGGAAAGTCTGATTGGCCAGTATAGAAGCAGGGGATTCACTGTGGTGCAAATCAGCAGTGACAACCAGTTTGAATGCCTACGAGACGATCTCCTCAAGCTATCACCACCGGTGGAACTGCACTGTGTGGCAGCCGGCCAACATGAATCAACGATTGAACGTAGCAACCGAACGCTAAAGGAGAGTGTCCGCTGTTACGTGAATCATCTGCCATTCAAGAAGCTCCCAAAAAGATGCTTGATCGAGCTGATATAGTATGCAGCAATCTACTGGTTGAACTGTCGAACGACAGGGGTGCACAGAACCAAGTCTATTAGGGAAATAATGACAGGAGTGTGTTTGGATGCGGCCCAAGACTGCAAGTTCCAATTCATGGAACCAATCCTTGCTCACGTGGATGACACGGACAACACTATGAGAGCACGAGCGGTTGACGCCCTGTACCTCAGACCAACCGGATCAATTACAGGAGGTTTCTTTGCTTTTGATATAAACAGTTGTAAGCGGATTCACCGAAAATCAGCCACACCAACACCCCTCACAAGTACCATCCTTAAGCAGGTGACCCAGATAGCGGAAGCACAGAAAATGCCACAAGGTGTGTGCTTCGGGGATGCAGCCGGAAACACGACTATCCTGGACCTGGATGACAGCCTGAACATGGATGATGATGATGCATCTGATGCAACTTATGGTGTTGAGGACAGCACCGATGAGGGATCCGTAGAAACTGCCCTGAGTGGGCACATAGATGCGGATGTGCGTGATGATTTGGATGTAACAGACGAAACCAAAGTGGCAGACAACCAAGCTGAAGAGCCTGAGAGAGGGGAGACCATCAAACCTGCGGAAGCAACACCGGAGGAAGTGGGGCAGGAAGAGGGCGAGGAGGAGGATGATGAAGCAGTAACAGTAACACGTGAGGAAGATGCTGATGTAGAGCCAGTCAGTTCACGTTTACGTAAAAGAGTCACCAAATCACATAACAAGTTCGGTGAGCAAGAAGGTTTTGAGAGTACCGTTCACACAAGATCTTTCTTCACCGCTGGGTATGTGCATGCCGTACGGCAGCTCAGCGAACAGCACGCCTGTGTAATGATGGTAGCAAATGCGATAGCAAACTACAACAACCTTGACGCCACCCATGCAACCAAGCAGTACGGTGTGAAGGAAGGAATCCGACGTTTCGGGGAAGAAGGAGTGGCCGCAGTCTTAAAAGAACTCAAACAGCTGCATGACAGAGGAGTGGTATCAGCACTAGACCCAAAGTATGTCACACAAGAAATGGTGGCACAAGCCCTGCCGTATCTCATGTTCCTCAAAAGGAAGCGAGACACATCAATCAAAGGAAGAGGGTGCGCTGACGGGAGGCGACAGCGTGAATACATCCGGAAGGAGGATGCAGCATCGCCAACAGTATCCCTATACGCCCTGGTCCTATCTTGTGTAATCGATGCGATTGAGCACCGGGATGTGGCCACAGTGGATATACCAGGAGCTTTCCTGCAAACACCAATGCCAGAAGGGGAGAATGTGTACATCAGACTGGATGGGACTATGGCCGAACTCCTGTGCCGAGTGAATCCAAAGCTATACCGTAAGTATCTGGTGAACAAAAACGGGCGTAAGACCCTATTCACCAAAGCTGAGAAGGCTATATACGGAACACTGCGAGCAGCGTTACTGTTTTGGGAGAAGCTATACGGACAGCTCGAGGAGTGGGGGTTTGAGCTTAATCCATACGACCCATGCACTGCAAACAAGGTCATAAACAACAAGCAATGCACCATTGTTTGGCATGTGGATGACCTCAAGATATCACACGAGGACCCAAAGGTGGTAACGGCGGTCATAAACCAACTAAACCAAGAGTTCGGGAAGGAATCACCCCTAACGGAGACGCGGGGGCAAATACATGACTATGTGGGAATGACAATTGACTACTCAGAGGCTGGTAAGGTCAAATTCAGTATGTTTGACTATCTCGAGGAGATTCTTCAAAACTTACCTGAGAGCCTGAGAGGAGTGGCAGTCACTCCAGCGGCGGATCACCTATTCACGGTAAATGAGGATTCCCCAAAACTAAACACTGACCTGGCCGATAAGTTTCACCACTATGTGGCGAAGCTCTTATTCATGGCAAAGAGAACTAGGCCAGATATACAGACGGCTGTCGCATTCCTATGCACGCGTGTGTCGGCACCTGATGAGGATGATTGGAAGAAGCTCTGCCGAGTGATGAGCTATTTGGCGGGAACACCCTACATACCACTTGTCCTGGGTTGGGATGGTAGCGGAAACGTGTACTGGCATGTGGATGCAGCATTTGCAGTGCACAACGATATGAGGAGTCATTCTGGAGGAGTGATGACGTTTGGAACGGGAGCAGCGATCACCACATGCACCAAACAAAAGTTGAACACGAAGAGCTCCACAGAGGCCGAGGTCGTAGGGGTTGATGATAACATGACGTTCATCCTGTGGGCTAGGTACTTCCTCCAGGCACAAAGGCAACACATGACTGATAACATTGCGGACAGCCGAGATGATCAGCCCGTCGGTCCGGATCTGGGGGGCACCAACGTGATATACCAGGATAACGAAAGTGCAATAAGGCTGGAGAATAATGGACAGAGGTCCAGTACCAAAAGAACCAAGCACATCAACATCCGATACTTCTTCGTGACAGACAGAATCAAGAAAGGGGAGGTCACCGCGGAGTACTGCCCAACAGAGGACATCATTGCCGACTATTTCACCAAACCACTGCAAGGGAGCAAGTTTCGACTTTCCCGGAACACGATCCAGGGGCTCACTGACGCTGAGTGTATCAAATACAAGCAAGCATACTATGCAGCTAAGGAGGCAGCAAAGAAGACAGCAAGTGAGTGAATGCAGCAGTATGAAGCAAGGGGTCCGCTGCGAGTGTGGAGGATGAGTGCGGAAGCACCGTACAGCTCAGTAGTAGTGGACACGAGAGACGAATAACGAGTACAATCAAGAATGCACTGCAGTCTTATACAGTAGCAGCCCTACGTGGAACACCGTAGAGCAAGGTTCCCGCATAAAACCGCAGTGAGGAGTGTGTTGAAGGACAGACGTTCACGCGCGTGTCCACCGATCACAAAATACATAAAATACATGTCAAGTGCATATTGATGTGAAAATCTTCACATCAGAAGTATGAAGAGTCAACAGAATCCCAAGGGTTTTCTCGATTGATCTCATACTTTTCAATTAATCTAACCAATAGGGAAGAATTTATACATTCAGACATTTCTCTTTCAGGTTTCGCGCTCTTAATGACGTAGGCATACATCGTCATTACTACGTCGAATCAACAGAAATCGTTTTCGATTCTTTGGTTCGGTTCGCGATTCAAGAGATGTTACGAGTTAAGTCTCTTACTGTGCGGCAATGGGGTAAAGTGAATTTTAATTCTGAAGAATTATCATCCATGAATAAGGAGAGCTAGATCCTAAATCTAGTGTGACTTTTTCGTGATCTAAACGGCAAAGGCAGCCTTGTTGTCTTCGATCCAGTCACTCAAAGAATCCGGTTTCCGACCAAGTAGCTTTTCAGCCTCGGCCTCGTCCAGATGTTCAGACTTGAAGGAAGTGAAAAAACGGAACATGTTCGCTAGATCAGCGGCACCTGGAAAACCGAAGGATGCATACGTGGCAGGATCCACGGCGTTATAGATGACTGGGACATCGAGACATTTGCTAAAGGCATCGGCCATTTCTTGTCCCGTATGAAAGGCACTAACAGCACCACGGCATGTGTTTATGGTGGAAGGGTCTTGGAAAATTGCCTTTACGGTATGACCGATGYCTCGAAGCGAGGTCATGGGGATAGGTTTATCACCAATCGGAAATGTTAGGGCAAAGGGCTGATCCTCTGCATRTTTCTTGGGGCCCATTCCAAAATCGATAAAATTAGTGAAATAAAAGCACGTAAAAAGAAGGGTGGTTGGAGCGGCTGAAGCCAAGAACCTTTGTCCTGCCTCTCCTTTTCCGTCAAAGTGAGGCACGTAAGACTTAAATTCGTCTTGAAGGACGGGCCAGGTATCCACGTCGGCGGACGCTTCAATCAATGGTCGAGTGTCTTCCAACGTGGATAGAACRACGTGCTCGACCTTGGCTTCGATAGCTGCATTTTGAAGTTTATCCGTTTGTTCGATTTCATGGGCCATGCTCATGTCTTCCCAAAAGTTGGTTACAAGAAAGGCGCCATATGCCCCCGACAGGGCACTAACCATGCTAGCCTCATCGTCCGCATCCGCTTTCACGACTTCACATCCCTTGGCAGCAAGAGCCTTGGCTTTATCTCCATCCGGGTTGCGGGTAATGGCACGGATGGAGAATTGTTCCGGGACCGTCAAAAGAGCCTCCACCACTGCTCCTCCTTGCTTTCCTGTTGCGCCCATGACGGCAATGATTTTCGGGTTGGAATCTTCAGTAGCCATGTTGACGAACGAAGGTAATGATAATGCTAATGATGGTGAAAATTCAAATGATAAATAATGAGCAAAAAGGTGAAATGTATTTGCGGTGAGGTGGTGTCAAACAAGATGCGCAACACTGCAAAAATAAAGGTTAGATGAAGGCAGGGGTCATCAGTTACTTCGTAAGTATTTAGAATGACCCTRGATGAAAGGATTTTTTCTGTATCGTAAAGTACCATACTTCGAAATGAGCTGGAGAAGAAGAAGAGTATAGTAGATAGTGAATAAGCTCACTCTTTATTGTAAACACGTAGTTATGACACTAAAGAGCACACGTAAATTTTGCAGGTTATTATTAGTATCAATCTTAATAATAGGCCCCTGCTGCCGAATCTTCRATGCCGAGACTTTTGATTTTGTTTAGACATGTCGTTCTGACCGTACGTACGGTGCGTACTATCGTAATGAAAGGAACGTCGAACGCCGAGCCAAAGGACTTTGCTATCGATTTTTGGTCTTCTCGCTCGCGCATGCCAAAAAATGGAGGAATCTTTTCCAACCGTTAGGTGGGTAAAGTACCTACGACCAGGGGTACGAGTACCTACGTACGTATGGCATTGTATTATTGATACTCGCAGATTGAATTTGCATTAACGGGCGGAAACAGACAATTTTCGAGAACTCGCACGACTGGAACAAGTTAGAACTCGTGGGTTTTGATTGGATGATTTCCGACCTGTACCGTAGGAAGCTGACAGATGGGAACCCCAAATWGTCGGAGTAGTCAGRGAACTGGTCGGAGTCACAGACTTTGATGCCTCCCTCCGGCAAAAAGCTCAAAGGGAAGGTTGAAACTCTCACAATTTTTCCAAGAAGGAGCACCGAACAGCTCAGAACAATGCGACGACACTATRTCTGAGATGCGTTAKAGCAATCAACGGGATTSTGTACCATGTGTATTCTACTGGAACATTCTCTGTGCCCCGTTGGTTCTGTCTCAGGAATAGACAGATCCATCAAATACATTGGCACGCCCTGATTGGCACATCAGTCTTGGTGAGACAACAGAGGGTATCGAAGTTCCCAAGTTTCTGGAGGCACAAATAGTGGTCAGWGGYTTCAACATAYCTGTCTCAATAAGTAGTAGTATTTCCTACGGTACGACAYTGAGAATAGAAGACTAGAGGACACGTATGGGACCATTGCAATATTCCATTACCCTTTMGTAATTCTAACCTTTCGGAACATACTTRYTGKGCAGCTTACCTACTACTGTCACTCAGAAAAGAGTAGACAAACTCTGTCATTCTCAAAACAATGAGATCGGTCGGCCTTCGACCCACAAACTRCAACAAAGTAAGAAGATGGAATCGCCACTAAGAGGRTCGAAGATATTCACTCGTTACCACCAAMRGCATGTGGAAYTCTATCGAGATGAGAATCGTCGCCGCAATGACGATTGTGTCGAGAACAGTAACAATGGGTCCCCGACCAGGAAGAGAGCCGATATGATCCAAAAGAARATGCTGGTGACAAATAAGAGGCAGATAGGGGCTAGCGGGACTCGCTCAGATCCAACAAGCAACATCCTCGACGATTTAACCATGGGGTACAGTGCATCCCCCAGCCCCCGCTTGCTGACAGAGCGGGACCCGGAAGAATACGCKCTATCCCCGAGCTCGGCAAGGTACTTTCGAATCGTATCACTCGATGGATGCCGCGAAGAGCAAGTGTCGCCTCTGTTCCCAGACTCGTCAGCGTCGTCAACATCTTCGCTTCACCATCTGAACCTTCCAATGATTCCGGGACCTATAGTCTCATCACTAGACGGAGAGGACGATGTTCCATGTCCGACGGTATCAAAAAGAACCGGGGATGTGTTCGTCCCTAAAACTTCRAGGAGCTCGAAGTTGTCCGCCCGCGCCGATCGAAAAATCAGCGATGCCAGTTCGGAGAAGGAGGCGACGCCGAATTCTAGGCAACGACGGCGGAGAAGCAGCCACAATCGGAGTCAGTTTGTATTCGACGGGAATCTCTCTTTTGGGTCTGTCAATTCGCCCCCTATGTATGYATCACCCACCACAAGGTATCTATCCCCTACAAGCAGAGCCCCGYCAAYCCCGATGTACATATCCCCCAAAGGAATGGCTTCTCTTCCTGACATGTCGGTGGTGGTGAATTATCCTCTATCWGCTTCGTTRACGATGTCACCACCGCCTCCATTCGATATCGGACTCTGTTACGAAGATGGATGCCACGAGAAAGATGGACGAAGGACGCCTCCCCCAACCCACGAGGAACAAAGACGCAGAAATAGAGCCATGCCGTCCATGCAATACGAAGMAACTATYTTGAATAGACTGAGGCAGCAAGAACACCTAGAGTTGCGGCATCAAAATACATGGTAGGAATTATCAAAATGTTCGGCCAACGTGCATTGCGATTCCATATCGTACTATTTATCACGATGCGTAACTGTTCTATGTACATTTGTTATAACTTTATTTTGCATAATTATGAATACCTTTTTTAGACAAGCTTGAAGACAAAACTGCGTGTGTTGTACAGKTATGCAGACTTCTAACTATTGTCGGAGAAGGGGACAATAGCTTCAATCCATGTGTGTTCAAGGCAAGACGATCTGCAGTAGCAGCAGTTGCATCGGAATCGTTTATACTTGAAGAACCTTCGCAGTTCAAAAAGTTTGGAACAAACGTATTCTAAAAAATATCACTAATTAAGGACATACCGGTACTAGTCCGATTATACTATGGATGATGTCAGTACGGTACGACTACTCGTAGTAGTTTAGCGAGTCTCATTCAGAAGGAGAGGACCGTTAATTGTTTAAAAAAGTACACGCCTTACATGGTACCGTACGAATCAGTCCCCGCGGGAACATRAATGAAACGTGCCTTCCGGATTCGAAGATACCACGACTGACTTATTTGCTTCCTTTTTTCGTTTCGATTCATGAAACAACCGATTTTCGCTGGACACAGTAGAACGTGCTTGCCGGGAGGAATCAGTGGATAATTGTGCTTTTAGTGCACAATTGGAGAGATATCGAAGGSTTGATCGTGCGCACAAGACATGGGGAGATCGCTMAYTCGGCGTRTCGATTTCATTTCTACCACTGCTCCATCCTAATATCTTTTTTTGGGTAGCTGATCGCCGTACATTGTGTTTAGTGGAACTGCTCCTGATCCATGTTTCTCTGGTTTCAATCGAAAGAATTACTATTATTCTTTCACAACAGTGAATTTGGAGGAACATGGCCCAGGAGAAGTTTCGCAAGTTCTTGCCATCGATGTCTAACCGATTCACAGAATTCTGTCAATAATTGTCTCGCTGCGCTGTCCTTCGGATGTTTCGATTGGTGATATCAGTTTGTTTCCCGTGCGGACTCGGAATTATCTTCTTCAATGCAGTATATTGCTACATTTTGCCGATTTATTGMTCTATCATTGCCAYCGCGAACTACTCGYCGGYCTTGAATACAATTTCTAGATCCTTGTAGGATTTCAGTTTGGATGCGTTTGCGTTGTCGCGAAAGACCCATTCCTTTGATCGACCGTCCCACCTCCCTCCAAGCTKCTTGATCATCTCTTTGTGGGCATATGTGTTCCCCCTAACACGGAAGCTCTCGCCTGTAGGTGCATGRAAATCGCCGATTTTGCTGATGCTGTCATCGTTGCTCCGGATATTGTTGTTTGGACTAATTACATCGGTCTTTTGCGAGGAATTCCACGAGTCTTCAGGGGACCACGWTGCCGCCATCTCTTCGATTTCCATAGATCGATCTATGCCGCCATTCCATTCGCCATCGCTATGTTGAATCTCATGAATACTATTTGGGCTAGAAAGACCGTCATCCATAGACAATGTCGATTCGATGGAGGAAAACAAAGAGGAGAGGGGATCTCCMGTTCCRCCGTGATCGGGACCGGGAATAATTTGTGGTTCTTTTTCTTCCGCTTTCGCAACCACTCCGGATTTCGTAGAGGACGRTGATTCGTCTTCCAACGATACATACCCGTGTTCCACAAGGTACCGGAATATTTCCAGGCACGCCTCGCTRTCCGCYAGGGCATCGTGGGCATTCTCCAATTCTCCCTTCYGGCCTTTCGTCACGAACCCGTATGCTTCCGCAAGGCTCGGCCATTTGTAGGACGATTTAAACCTAGAGGGCAGCTTRCAGAGGTCGACCGATGCCATCATGGTGCATATTTGCCGCTTGGAAGAAAAGAGTTCCAAGAAGGATTCGCCGACCGGTGTTYYATGGTGAAAGGCGGCCTCCATCACGATCGCGTCGAAGCGGATGTTGTGCCCGACAATCACGTCGGCGCGCCGGCAGAGATCCCCAAAGATGGAAAGGGCCGTCTCGTGTTCAATCCCGTACGAGGCGCAGTCACCGCTCGAAATTCCGTGGACCCTCTGGGCRCCCTCGTCGATCCGAACCCCTTTGTGCCGAAACCGGACCAGAAAGGAACCCTTGCTAAAGATCTTCCAGCTTCCGGTGTCCACAAGCAGAAATCCTAGCTGGACAAGATCGGGCTGGCCCTCATCGGTRGGGGGGTCCCGAAACCGTACCATTCYGGTGGTTTCTGTGTCAAAAACGAGGGCTGTTYGGTTTCGTGCTACCGATGGATCGCCCCGATTCGGCAGCGACGAAAACAATCGTCGTTCGCGCGGTCCCTGCCGAAGCGMGATTCGTCGGACCGGAGAGGACGGCGATGAAAAGGARCGGACCAGGGTTGCTCCCAGAGCATTCAATGGTTTCCTCGAGATCATCCCCACTGTAGCTGATAKGAGCAAGGACATGCTTGGTTTCATAGTACGCGCAGTTGGCGGTGCAAAAGAGAGGGGGGAAACAAAGGCAGCTCTTCGATGAAAAGCAATTGGAATTGGGGAGTGAATCTCTCGGTAGAACCCAGATTTCTTCAATCCGRCGAATGGGAGCTTCTATCTCATATGGTGCTATCTCGGTGAGAATTGTTTCACCACAATAGTTGATATGGAACGGCACTCGTTCTCGTTGTTGGCTTGTTCAACGGATTTCTGTCAGGGTTCCAAAATTAGATTTCGAACTGCTGTACCGTGTCGCAGTACGGAGTCAACGTCGAACCCGTATCGTTCTCGCTCTACTGAATTGTACCGGAACTCGTATCTGTCAGTTTCGCGCAAGATTATCGAAAATCATTCGTTACCTTCAAACACGATTGGGGTTCGAGTTATTCGAATGTTTGCTAGCAAGATGATACAAGATTTTAAGAGTTGCTAGAGCTGTATCTACTGGACCATAAGGGAGATAACAAACGCATGGATTGGGTTTCATACCACGATGAAACACCTTTATTTTTCCTACTAGGGKCATGTACTGCACAAAGCAACAACTCATGGTTATGAGAGCTACGTAGTAGTATGCTCTATTCTAGGGTAGCAACAAGAACTAGTAGTACATGACAACATGATATCGGTGATTGCTGTGATTTATTGCTATTTCTACAACAATTCTTCTTGCACTAGAGTCTGGTGGTATTGTGTGCCCTAGGGACTTTAGTTTCGCGCTACAATTCATTTATTGGGCTTCTACAAGATAGTTTGAACGCGATTGGCAGGTCCTCCGACAAAACGAGYCATTGGCATTCACMCCWTTKTTCTGCCGTCCCAACATTTTTACGGTTCGCCAGCTCYCCCAAYACTCCCTCACACCACCCGCTCGAARAGGCCCCGGTCCACCCCTTCCCTCCCGGAGGGGTCCGCGGCAAAGGCGATCGCGCTCTCCGCCAGCTGCTCGTGCACTTTCTCCGGATCGGCCGGCCCGCACGCCGGGATCACCAGCGAGAGAGTCCGCATGATCCAGAGGGGKGCCCACAGCGGGGCGTCCACAAAGTTTCCGTGAAAGGCCCCCCGCACGTGGTAGGTCGCGTCGCCGCACGCGATCCCKGCCCGGTGGTACTCGTCCGAGACGTACGAGACGGCCGGGACCGCCGGGGGCAGCGAGAGGCTCCCGGAACCCATCCCGAGGGCGGGGTCGTGCAKGACCAGGCCGGAGATCCCCCCCGGCCGCTTCTGCGACGCCAGCAGGGCGGAAGGCGCGCCGTAGCTRTGTCCCCCTAGGAACACTCGGCCGATGGAAYCGGGGAAGAGCACCGGCAGGTAGTCCACGGCCTCGAGGAGCTCCTCCGACCTCAGCCGCAGGCCGTCCCGGAGCGAGGACCGGCGGGGGTCAAAGCCCAGGCGGGTTCCGTCGGACAGCCGCGTGGAGGAGGCCGTCCCGTCCGTGTGTTCCACGGCGGCGACGACAAAGCCCTTCCTCGCGAGGCCCCGGAGAAAGTAGGTGGACATGTCCATGTTGCCGCCGTATCCGTGGCTGTATACGAGGAGGGGGTAGCCGGCCCCGTCGCGGATCGAGGGGCCACCGGTACCGCTGGGGTCTTCGCAGCAGCCGCTCGGTGCGTCCGCCAGGTGCGCCAGCAGGAAGGAGAGTCCGATCTGGCGAAACCCCACTAGCCCGGCCATTCCATCGGAAGTCTCCCTCCCGTCGGTACAGTATCTGCCCTCTGTTGCCGCGGTTCCGTCCGTGCCTTGATCCGAGCACGGATAGAACAACCGGACYCTGGATTTGAGTCGGGGCAGCCGGACCACCCTGGACCCAACGCGGTAGCCGTCGTTGTCGTCGCTCGGGAGGCGCGGCTGGCCTATGACAGCAATCGCGGCTCCGATGCGAAAGCAGGCGGCAAACACGGATGGATAGAGGAGATATCCCGGAATTCCTGCTTGCAATGCGGGAACCGAAACACCAATATCGTGAGCAACATCCTGCACCGATAGTGCCAGCTTYGTATCCCTGCAATCCTGCTCCGAGCGGCACTTTTTYAGCAGGTGTTTGCTGCCGGTGGCAAACGAGGATGCCGTCGGCAGGAGGACACTAATCAACAATGTTCTCAGAAACGGGTGCATCGTCTYCGTTCRTGCTTCTGAATTTGCGCTCGTTTCCACAAGGTTTGTCTTTTGTGCGTTCTGATTCCTTCGCAGCCGTAASAGTCGTGTCGCTGACTCGCGGCAGGACGAAAAAGATCTCGATGTGTGTTCCCAGGGAGATGACGCAGATCACGAACGGGGACGACGAAAAAGAGGCAAGCAGCGGGGGCGCGACAAGGCACAGATTTAGTTTCCATTGCTTCGTGTCCTGCGCAGGTCGTGATKCGATGCACGACTCACMAGGACGCGTCTGTTTTCGAGTTTCGACGGAAGCGCGATTCAAAACACGAAAACGCTCCGGCACCGAAGAATCGAACTCTTGCGGAAGCTACTGTTGCTACACACATGATGTGTGACCAAGTATCAGCGTCCAGAACGCCTTTTGAGACTGCTCGCCKTTCCGAGCTTCTGTCTTTTCTTTGTTGCTGCAACTGTCTTTTTCGTYAAAAAGGGTAGAAGCCAGTAGCTACAGAACAGTGATTGCACTAAAACATATAAAACGAGAAGACCGAATGGAAGACCGAATGAAAGACCTGCTTTCGATTCCAAGAAGATGATACCCCATGACAGAGATAACGGCAGCGATGAGAGAATCGAAGACGAGGATACTTCAATGAAACTCAAACCTTCGTCGCTTCTAGCGTCGCGGAACAATAGCAATAATTCCGGYGACAGGAATGAAACGGGTAGCAATGACTGCGCATATAGCGGCCAGGCTGAGAAGCGAGGGTCAGTTTCGTCGGCCTGCCAAAAACCAGTTATCTGCAACATCCGAGAGGAGCAAGAAGCTGAAAGRAACAATYCAGTGGTTCWTCTGAAAGACAAGCAACCCCCGAAAACCATTGTAGTGGCAACCATCCAGACGAAACAGGATTGCGACGGAGTCATTCACGGCGATCGCGACCCAGAAGAAAGCGTTGTGAGCACCACRAACAGCGCCGAGATGGACAAACCCACAACCAGCATGGAGTCGCAGGATCTTTGCATTGGTCAGAGCTTGCCTTCAACGAAATCCTCGAAGGATTTTCTTGCCTCTGCTGATAGTACTCGTACTCAGTCCGAAGATTCTATCTATGACAATGACAATGACGATGACAATGACAATGACAATGACAATGACTACGACGAAGAAGAAGACAGCAACTCCAACGATGACATCGATGAAGCGAAGGACCTGAGTTCTCTGATTGCAGATGCCGAGGAGACAAACCGCAAACTCCGGGACCGAATCGGCAGATTGAGGCAGGCGATTCGGTCCATCCGGTCAATGGAAGCCATCAAGAAGGGAAAGGGCATGGTGGAGGAATACGGGCTCCGGGTAGAGGCGGATGCCCTGGGGGAAGACCTCCGTTTCCTCGAGGCGAAGCAAGAAGGCCTCGGYGAGACCCTCTTTGAGCTCCACATCCAGCGCCTCGATCTGCTCCGCCTCGAAGAAGACCTGCAGAAGGAGAGGGTGCGGGAAGAAGCCAAGGAACGTTGCGCTCCGACGCCCTACGGCAAGAAAAACCGAACGGGTCGCAGCAGGAGCAGAAAAAACAACAGAAGCAGGACGAGAAACAGAAACAGAAACCGGAGCTCGTCGTTCCGCAGGACCGTGTCCAATGTCAGCGAGTGAACCGAGCGAATCCGGATGGCAGGCGTGGTGCGTTTGAAAAGGATCCATCRATGGATTCGAATCAATCGCCCTGTTGCTCCTTGCCGAACACAGGTTGCAACTTGTTCGAAGAATGGGAAATAAGATATAATCGATTTTATTTGACAGTGTGTACCAATTCTTGTCGACTGCTGAAGTAAGACTTACAAGCCAACTGTAATAAATAACCAKTGTGTTGTACAGTTTTGCTGTTTCATTACKGTATAAAAATTTTGATTTTGTGATGGTTGTGGTGTGCCATTGGCAACGAACGATTGTCTATATCGGTGGTGTTCTATTTTAGTGTGTGATCTCGAGTAATGGTGTACTCGAGTCTATGTTATAAATCATGGTGGTTTTATGCTCGCCGGGAGTGGCACTGAATCTGGTGCACCTGGCGAGCTGTTGCGTCGCATCGCATCGCATCGCATCGCATCCGTTCCGGTGTGTTGATGCCCGCTTCGTGGTGTGTTGCTTAGCCCCTCTTCGCTGCCAAGCGATGCGCTCACCTCTCCCTAGCAACACCGTTTTTCATCCAAAATCCCCGTGGTGGTGAAATTGCCGGTGGCGGTGGTTGCTACTTCTGGTGCTGCTACTGCTGCTACTACTACTRCTGCTGGTGGCAACACTCGCGCCGCTGTATCGGCGCTGCTGTTCCAATTTCCTCTCGCGTTCCTCTCGCAGCCTCCTCTTGCGTCTTTCCCTGAGATCTTCTTCGGCCTGACGGATTTTCTCTTGTTTCCCGGCGCATTCGACTCGGACCCTCCGTATCTGGTCCTGGAGGCCCCTGCATTCTTCCTCCAGGGCTTGCTTGGCGCTGGTTGCCCGCTCGATCTCGTCCTTGAAGTTGTTGAGCCGGAGGGAGGTCCGCATCCGCAGCAGGTTGCCTTYGTTTCGCATCTGAAGAATGGTTCTCTCCAGTGCCTCGCACTCCGCCCTGAGCGCRTCGTTTTCCGAGCGYTGTCTCTCCAACAGCCGCTGCTGCCGCTTTTGTCTGTATTGGTTCGGGTCCCGCTGGTCTCGGTGCGGGCTCGGCGTGCCGGCCGCCGAAACCACGTCCACCGCGGTGGGAGGCAGAGAARGAGGGATCGCCGGCGAGGATTGGTCTTGYCGGCCCTCGGCAACGYCTGTATCCGGCTCGGATCTGTCGTCAATGGTCGTGACAATGGTTGCCTGGCAGAGTCGGTGGCCGAGCATCGGGACTGAGGGCTCTCCGCACTTTTGCTCCTCTCCCGTCGGGTCGTTACTTCCGCTGCCGCATCGTTCCGAAGGAGACAGAGGCATTTCCCACAATTCCGTGGATGCCTCGTCGCTGCTGGTGGTAGAGTAGTCCCGCGAAATATCCTGCGACATCAGGTTGCTAATGCTGCTGGAGCGAAAGGAAGATTCCTCGTCGATCCGCCCCAGGACCTTGAAAAACTTTGGGCCGTGAAAGGGCTTSGGGGACTTGTTACCGGCCTTGGCCAACGGTCCCGGTTTGGAAGACAGTGAAGAGGACCTTATCGAACTCGCCATGGTGACAGAACTACCCAAGAAAGCTTCGGAAGTAGACAATAATTATGCAAATACTGGCGCTGACACTGATACTGAAACTATTTTGTTGTACTGTGTCCGTGGAAATAAGTACTTCGAGATGGGTTTAATGAACAGAACAGAAAAAAAATACAGCTACRCGTGATCACGATTGATGTGTGTCGGTTGTCGATTGATGGATGAATTTGTCAATCGAACGATGGCCTTCGATGACACTCCCTCGGCAAGAGTGGTGTCTTTGCCGTGAGATTTGATGAGATGCGATGCGACAGCAAACAACTCCTCGCAACAGCATCGATCGTGTGTGTGAACCAAAACCAAAACAAATAAGCCGGTCCTGTCCCTRCTCTGTATTGTCGCGAACTTCTACGAACGTTTTAGGTGATACAACAATCGATGGTGAATCATTCGTTCATTTCTTGATTCCTTTGCAAATTTTTGGTGCGATCCAAAACCCCGGTCCGGATACGACGATGCTCGTACCGTACTACTGTAACACGTACGAGTACCARGTCGTACCGGGGTCTGCGCCAATCATGTAGGAATGCACACGATGCGCGTCCGTTGAAAAAAATTATTGACGKATGGGTCCGGATACAGAGGATCCCCACGCGCGCTACTATGGGGCGGTTTGGAGACGCATGGGGTTGAATTTTGAAGGTCATCACGGTGCAAGCACGAACTAAAAAACTGCTAGTTGTACGAGTCCATACTTCGAGGTACGAGTACTGTACCGTACGTACCGTACGTACTCGTAATCTTCGTACTCAAGAGATCCAAAAAAATTATGCAATACATTCTAGATTCTACTGGTACGTGTACGTATCCAGGGGTCTAAATTATGACCCCTGTACGTATCCAGGTACGTAACCGTAGGCTGTACGTACGATACTACGGTACTGTACCAAGCTCCGATGGGATMAGAAATCATGTTATTTATTATATATATAATACATACTATACATATGTTGATATGTACAGTAGTAGCAGATTTTCCTCACATATCACATAAAATCGAAGAGAAGCGCGGCTGGAACAGAATCCAAAGGTCATATTTTTTTATTTTTTGTTAGTGAGAACAAGGCGAAAGGATCTTTTGAKCGACCAACCAGCACATCGAGCTCTCGGACTCTGTACAAGCTGCAAGAAGAGAACAATAGGTGGAAAGAAGGAGGAAACTATGCGAGCACTGGCGAGAGGAGCGGTACCGCTGGTGCTATGSCGTTGCTGGCCATTTCTAGCGATGGTTTCCGTACTAATCTTGCCGTTGCAGCAACCGGCCATGGCAGTCGTGAGTGGGGACGAATACAACGAGAACACGAATGCAAACATGAATWCACAGGAGTCGCGCGGCACARAGGGAATAAGTAGTGACGACGTCGACGATGCCGAAATCGAGAAAATGCTGGACGAATTGGGTTGGAAGGGACAGGTCGGTCAGATGGTGCAGATGGACATTAGCTTGCTTCTTACCACGGATGATACCCAGGAAATTCGGTTCGACCAAGTCCTCCTGGACAAATGGATCGGCGAGTACGGAGTGGGCAGCGTCCTSAACAACCACTATCCGTGGACAGCGGYCGAGTACCGAAACGAGGTCATCCGGCTGCAGCAGACMGCCAAGGGTTCCAGGCGCCCGCCCGTCATCTGGGGCCTGGATTCCGTTCACGGGGCTAATTACGTAAGGGACGCCCTCGTGACSCCACAGCCGATCAACYTGGCGGCCTCCTTCAACACAAGTMTTTCCTTTGCYGCCGGGGCGCTGGCCTCGAGGGACACGCGGCGTGCGGGGATCCCGTGGCTGTTTTCGCCCCTYTTKGGGCTGAGCTGGAATCCCTTCTGGTCGAGGGTCTACGAAACCTTTGGGGAGGACCCCCTTCTGGTGGGGGACATGGCCGAGAGCATGACCAGGGGGATCCAGGCTCTTGATGCCTCTACGAACAGCTCTCTTTTGCCCTCTCGAGCGGCGGCCTGTGCCAAGCACTTTGTGGGGTATTCGTATCCCCACAACGGGCACGATCGAGCTCCCTCCCGGATTCCCATGCGCCACCTCTATCAGTATTTTTTGCTTCCCTGGAGGAAGGCACTGCTGGAGCTGGGCGATGGTTCGAACGCGAGGTCAAATTCTAAAAAYAACCACGGGAGCAGGCCCATGACGGTCATGGAATCCTACACGGAAATCGACGGAGTCCCGAACGTTGCCAACCGCCGGACGCTGGACAGGATCCTGCGCAAGGAACTCGGATTTGGAGACGGGATGCTCGTCACGGACTACAACGAGATTACCAATCTCGAGCGGTGGCACCACGTGGCCTCCGATGGGGACGAGGCCTTGTGGAGGGCCATGGCGGACGGGACCATCGACATGTCCATGATCGGGAACCTCGACGACGTCMGAGCGTTTTTCGAGGGGATGGAGCGCCTGTCSGCAAAGGGGGAYGAGAAACTCGCCCACCGGGTGAGGGAGAGTGCCCGCCGGGTTTTGAAGCTGAAGAAGGATCTTGGCATGTTCTYGGAGAGCTTTCGGTTGCAGCCGCTGGAGGAAGAAGACACCGGGGGTGAATTCCGGCCTTCCGAATCCGACGTYGAAGCGGTGTTGGACATGACGCGGCAGTCCRTCATCCTGGCCAAGAACGAAAACAATGCGCTGCCATTGCTCAAACAGGGGATGGATACGGCGAACCAGCCACTGAAGATACTCGTCACGGGGCCYACTAGCGATTCTCTGTCGTTCCAGACCGGTGGATGGACGGGAGAATGGCARGGGGTMAACTCCAACWACGAGGGAGAATGGTTTTCCTAYGGAGGATACAAAACGGTCCTCGGGGCTCTGCGAGACGAGGCGGGCAGCTTCGACACCRAGCACGAGTGCGGTGTCGATATTATGGGGAACGATTGCAGCAACGGAAGCCCTGTCGCACCGGGCGAAACGGAAGACGAAGACGAAAATCCACTCTCGAACCTGCTGGACGTGGTCAAGGGCTGGATCCATTTCGGYGGTTCGTCGTCGGCGTCCTCTGCTTCGTCGGATCCGCTGGATGCAATTGTTGTTTGCTTGGGGGAGGAAAACTATGCCGAAAAACCSGGGGACATTGAAGATCTGAGGCTGCCGCAGGGCCAATACGATTTGGTGAAGGCTCTGAAGGAAGTGATCGACTCACAGCACCAAGAAGGAGGAGGAGCGACAAGGAAAACAAAAATCATCCTGGTGTATTTTGGGGGCAGACCCCGCCTGTTGGCGGACGTGGTGAGTGCGCTGCTTGCCAGCTGTCGCTGACATGGTCTTCGGCTTGCTTTCGGTGYCTCGCTTTTCCCGTGATGCTAACCCTGTTGGTTTGTCTTCTTTTGTGACAGGTTCCGTTGGTGGACGCAGTGGTCCTCGGCTTTTTGCCCGGTCCATTTGCTGGGAACGCGATTGCCGATTTCTTTACGGGACGAGCCAACCCGGATGCCAGATTGCCGCTCACGTATCCAAAGCACCAAGACCTGGGTGGCATTCCCTACCTGCGCGAAGTCAGTGACATGTGCACGGAAGATACCGGTGGCACCCTTCCCCACTGGAACAACGTCCCRTGCGAGGTCCAATGGCCGTTCGGGCACGGATTGAGTTACTCGCGATTCGAATACGACAAAACCATCCAACTCAGCACCACGACTCTGCAACAACATTGGCACGATGGAGGCAACGAAAACAAGGGGAAAGGCGCTGTCGACGAGCGGCTGAGTGTGACCGTGCGGGTAACCAATTCAGGTGACCTGCCGGGGGCAGAAACAGTGTTGTTTTTTACCTTCGATGAATCGCGGTCGACGACACCAGAATAYAAGCGTCTTAGGGCGTACGAGAAGGTTTGGCTCGAGCCCGGAATGTCAAAAGATGTTACGGTCACTATTTCGCTCGAAAACGACCTACGGTTTGTAGGACCCCAYGATGACTCCCATTATATTCTTCAAGACAAAATGAAATTCCGGGTAGGTATTGGGCCGGCTTCGGATTGTCGAAACAATGCAGACGATCAGATGTGCTCGGAAMCCGTGACCATCCGAACCGAGAAGAATTATGTCGGAGCSTGCGAGGCGGCGTGCAATCTCTGGAGAGRCAGCGGAGAGAGCTGCGCAAAGATAGTATTTCCGTCAAAACCATCTACCACAGCAAATTCCGTTGCCGCCTGCAGGGAATCTTGCGCATCGATCCGTTTCGACAAAAGCGAGGATGGGCAGCTGGACAACGACGGATGGGGCTGGAACTATGTGGAATGCCTGGAATCGATTCTCGGGAACGAATCATTCGATTCCAAGGATGACTGCTGGAAGCTTACAACACTCTGTCGCGATGTGACCCAGACCTTCGGCATGGACGAATTTGGTTCCGATACCAGCGGTAGCACCGTGACTATTGGAAGCGGTGGCAAAGCAACCGAGGATTCGCCACCGCTGGCAGTYGTTCTGTCGCTTCTTTCCGGGATTTTTGCTTCGGTTATGATCCTGTATACCGTGAGGGGCGGATATGCGAGCGAAAAGACGGGCAACACCAAGAAGCGTGGAGAATACGGGGATGTGGAATTTTCGGCCATTGACAGGGGGAGCAATGACATCACCAACAGCGAGGTATCCTTGACATTATAAATACTGTGCATTGCTAGGCATCAGTAGAGGGAACAATAATATTCCTAAAAACGAGATTCGATTAGGTTTGGCTCATAAACAATATTTGCCGTGTACCATTAAACTTTAAACTACGAATAATTCGTGCTTATTTCAAACGTTCATCRTGAGCTTCGAATTGTTTGTTTCTTCGAACTATGCATCATTTTTTCCATATTGTAGGCATCAACGTCTCGGTTGAAAGCACAGAGCCTGCAAAATACAAACGCACCCGTGCTACTGGAGAAGTTTGCCTCTATTTCCCTTGAGAATGGTAAAGTCACTACTCGTAGTGAGAGGCAATATTTGGTTTTTGTTAGCCAATATCTTCTTCTTCAACACATTACCATCGAATACCTACTACATCCCTTCAACTTCCTTCTGATACTTTTGAACCTCGGGYAGGGAAAGCATTTTCGCAGCCAATGCAGCGTGGAAATTGTCCCCCGAGCCCGGTGGAGTAGCAATGTATCCTCTCTGGTTGCAGTGCGAGGGAGCGTCGGGGTGGTAGATTGCGATTTCGTCGCCAAACAAGTCCGTCATCCTTCCTCCCATTGCCTTCAGGATTGCCTCGGGTGCACACAAATCCCAGGCCCCGCCAATCTTGTGCTGAATGCTACACGCCACCTCTCCCAGGGCCGCTCCAAGAATTTTGTTGCCGGCACCACCGTACGTTACGATGGACCCCTCGAGGCCGTCGATGGCTCCCCTCCGGCAGGCTTCCATCACTTCCGCAGTGGAATCCCCCGTCGCGTGGTGGGGTTTCGGGTACTTTTCTCCGTCGCTGTACTTTTTCAGAGGGAAGGGTCCCCTTGTCAGTGTGGTGCCAATCACACCGGTTCCCAAGCCATCCAATCCATAAATTACGGTGGAATCCTTCTCCAGTGTTCCGTCCGGAAATGGRATTCCCACKGCTCCYGCGACAGCTTCGCCGTCAATGGCTATCCCGACAAGGACCTGGCAGTTCTCCAACCTCCCTTCCACGAATTCTCTTGTGCCATCGAGTGGATCGACGAAGATAGTGATRCTGCCCGCCTCGATTTCGGGGCCGATGTCGTCGGGGATCTCTTCCGAAAAMAGATCACGGTCGAGGGGCTCAAAGACCGTGTCTTCCAGTGATTTCGTCAGTTCTTCSTCGTCGTCTTCTTCACCGACAACGGAAAGACAATCCTCCCCGGCATCCGAGTTTMYCCATTCCGCTCTAAGCGATCCGACGATTGCAGCGTGGGCTGCTTTGTCGGCTTCGGTGAGCGCCGATCGTGGGTCTTGGACGTCTTTTAGGACGACCCCCTCGAGCTCCTTGTTGCCGCTGGATTCTCTTGCCGCCTGGACTTTTCTGATTTCGACACACCCTCTCTGACACGCATCGACACACGTCGAGAGGAGCGGACCGATCCGTACGATGTTGCCGTTTGTCAATCCATTTGCAACATGCTTTGTCATCATTGTTGATAAGAAGGCATGGGCAAGCATGAAAAAAATGCGCGAATGCGGTGCTCTTCGGCTGCTGTTTCGACACAATTGAACCATCCTCACTCTAGCACTATCCAATCAGTCGASTGCTTTTCTTTTGTTACTCCGCRAATTGTTTCGGGCGTTTGAATTATGCTGTCACCTAAATCTTAGGTTTGGGATTTGGGACCTATTGGTACTTGATATTTGTCGTATCGACCACGAAGGAGTATTTGTGACGACTGACGCTGTTTTGTTTGTCCGATTATTACTGTCGGGACGACTGCATTTTACTGAATCAAAAAGTCAATGATTTGGTGACATGGGTTTTTGAAGAGAAGTGCAAACAGATATTTTTTGTGACGTGTAGCACATAGCGCAGGTTGCCGTACTTTTCTTACTTCCACGTGTAGAACGTAGTACTATTTCGAGGTGTTAATCGTGATGTTTTTCGCTGTTTCCGACTAGACAATGACAACAATGCTCATCCGACTAGTACCAGTTTTGGTTCAAAATGGACTTCCGAAATATTTTGCAACAACACTACAAATACGGTAGATACGTTTATGATGCAATCCTAGTATAATTTTTTTTGTTCCCCCCGTGTTTGCTCATTAGATTTTGCCATCCTCCGACTTTGAAAGGGTGGTTAGTAGTATGGTTTTGTTTCCCCGGGATCACTATTTTACACATGTAATAGATCCAGGATAACACAGCTAGATTTTGTGCGGCTGCGTTTTCAATCTCTTAGATCCTTTGCTGGAACCGAKCTCGCTTTTCGTGCAAAACTCCCAACTGTGGTTGTGTCGCAAAGATKYTTGGCTCTTTTTCTTTGGCACTTTGTGTTTGTCGCTCGCATAGGACGATGAATRCAAATCCCGAAACGGTTTGGACTWTTTCGATCCTTTCGAMACAAAGCCACGAATYGAATTTGGTTKCCAATCCCACCGGATCCGAGATGCGTTTTGTSGARTGARCAAGCATTGTCGTTTCGTTTCGTTTCGTTTCCCAGAAYCCACAGCGACGGTCCCTCGTGTTTCTTCCTTTCGCGGGGAMGTTCTCTCCCGGCTCGTCATTGCTGCCAGTGGGTATAGAACTTGGACGACACCGCGATCGAGGTCGAGCCCCCGATCAGGAGGAGCATCTGCAGCAGGGACATCCCGATSCCGTACAGCCGTCCCATGACGTCCCGGCGGGCCTCCTCGACCTGTTCCCTCAGGTCGTCCAGGTCGCCGTTGTTGTCGATGACAATGTCCGCCAGGGYTTCCTTCCGGGAGAGGGACATCTGGGAGGCGATCCGCGCCAGGCACTCCTCCCTGGGCAGCTCGGGGTTCCTYTCCACCAGCCGGGCGAGCTGGGTTTCTTCCGAGGTCGTCACGCAGATGGTGACCCCAAAGAGCCACGAGAGCTTTCCCGACTCGAAGAGGAGGGGCAGGTCGCCCATGGTGATGTCCGCGTACCCGAAAAAGACGCTCCGGACCAGCTTCTTGAGCAGGACGCTGAGGATCCGCGGGTGCGTGATCTTGTTCAGCTTCCTCCGCTCGTTCCGGTCGCTGAAAATAATGGCCCCGAGCTTGAGCCGGTCGATCCGGCCCGTGTCCGGATCGAGAATGTCCCTGTCCCCAAAGACCGCGAGGATCTTGTGGTAGACCGAATCGCCCGGGGACACGATCCGGAGGATGGGGGTCTGGTCCTCGCTGCCCCCGTCGCAATCCCCCTCGTCGAAGCTCCCTCCGCGGCCCTCGCTGTCCGAGTCGCTGCCCTCGTTTCCGCCGCCRCCGTTGGCCCCCCTCGTTTCCCCCGCCCGGGCCGCCAGGACCTCCGGCGGCAGCAAGATGTTGTGGGCGATCGAATCGGCGCAGATGAGCTGGACCGTCCCCTCGTTGTAGACGACGCCGCTCCCGTCGTCCGCCAGGGCCAGGGACGCCACCGCCGACAAGAGGCTCCCGACAGGTCCCAGGACCGAGGAGAGGAGGCCCCCCCTCGCCTCCCCGTCCCGGAGCCTCGCCATTTCGATGAGCTCGTCGTCGTCGTCGTCGTTGTTGTTGTTGTTGCCGTCGTTGCCGCCGTACCGGTGGCCGCTTGCCCCCTTTTTGTGGCTGCCGGGCTTTTTGCTGCTCCCGTTGCTGCGCCGGTTGCGGACGTTGTTGCTGTTGCTGTTGTTGTTGTTGTTGTTGTTTCCTTTTCCGGCGTTCGGACTCCCGCCGGCCTGCCTGTCGTGGTCCGCCGGCTCTCCCTCGCCGCCCTCCGAGCCCGTGTCGTAGTTGTAGTCGACAAACATCTTCGCAGCCGTCGATTTCCCCGTCGCGATCCCGCCCGTCAGGGCCACAAAGCAGCCGATGGATTCCCCAATGTGCACGCCGATGCAGAGAAAGACCAGCCGGATGGAGAACAAAATGGCCGTGGCGTCCGGGGTCAGCAGCGAGTCGCTGTTGGCAAAATCGGCGGGGCAGTAGAGCCCGTAGCTCTGGAGGAGCCAGGCGAGGTTGTAGTGGAACTCGTCCTGCCGGAAAAAGGACGACGGCGAGTCCCTGCCCGTCCCGAACATGCTCGAGACGTAGGCGTCCACCTCGTCCGGCTCGTCGTGCGCCGCCGCCGGGACGGGCAGACAGCCCAGMGAGGGGAGGAGCCACTCCATCAGAATGTCCCCGATCAAAAATACCACCAGGGTMGTCCAGACGTCGCTCCGGATGCGGGAGACCTGGATCTTGGTGCAGATCCGGGAGGTGATCAGCCCCACCAGCAGGCCRAAGGGGATCAGGATCAGCGTTCCCGTCACGAATTCTTCCACCAGCCGCCGCTGCGTGATCTTTCGGACCCCAAAGGCCACCACGAGGCGGGTAAAGGGGCGGGTCAGCATGCTGGTGTTGGTAGCGGTAGGTGTGTGTGTGTTTGTGTGTGTGTGTGTGTGTGTGTGTGTGTGTGTGTGTGTGGGTCTTGCGATGTGATCTCGTCTGGAGTGGTAGGGAATGGTATGCAATGGTATGGAGTAATATAATATGAGATGGTGCAATGTCGTGGATTGTGAGTGGTAGAAGGCTGCGTTTCGTCCTCAGTCTAAGTTAAAATGGTGCAGATTCGGAGATGTTGCGAATGCAGGGACATTGGTGACAATATCCTTGGTAGTACGAGTACGAGTACGAGTACCGGTATTTATTTGTTACTGAATTTTGCATTGTCTGCTACGGACCGTGCCGTACGAGCTATGTATGTTTCGGCTGTACGTACTGTATCATAATGTCGTAGACAGTGTCTCTCGTTACGGTACTGGAGATGATTCGATTCGATTCATTCCCCCTTGGGTTCGCACTCGTCATTTTTCGGGAAAATACGAGTACGAGTACGCGTACGCGTACGAGTACAAGTACTCCCTCTCAACTCAGTTCACATGTCCTCTCCCCGTTTCACCTGTAAAATCATTTAGGGGAATGTCATTTTTTCAAATTCTCATTTGGGGATCCCTAATGGGGAGCCGTGTTAGTAGGACGAAGGGGAAGCAAAGGATTGGTACTGTAACTTATCTACGGTATACCTTCAAGAGAAGGTAGGTAAAAGCATTCTTGACAAAGTAGAKGGATGATGGGTCTACTATGTAATGATGCTACTCATCGTCACTCTTTTTTGTGGCTTCGGTGATGTCTGGATCCCCTCAGTAATCCGTTTGGGGCAGGCAACAGCCGAGACACAAAACGAAACGAAACGAAACCAAACGAAACCACTAAAGAATTCAGACCACAAGAACGACTCCATCCAAACCAAGCCAACCAACAGAACATCGCCGACAGAATGGAATGCGATAAAATGATACACAACGCAACACAACGCAACACAACACAACACAACAAAACACAACGCCGTTGTCTATCTGTCGAAGAGCAAGAGCGATAGCGATAGCATGGTTTGCTCGTGCRTACCAAACAAAGATGAACCACTACGGTATTGTTGTGCAAAGAAAAGGGACGTCTAACAAATACACGCTACTACGCGAGCTGTACAATCCTCCTATCCAATCCATCGCGACATGGCGAGGCAATGCATGCTCGGCAATGATTATCCATCGATTTCCACGCTCGCCTTCCCCTAGTGCACACACCGCAAAGCACGCAAAAGCCAGACCGTTGTGGTTATTGGTTTACACTCTCTCCCTCTATCATTGTCACTCTCACTCTCGCTCCATCRCCAATAACACAAATTCCTTTCTAAAGCTGCTGCACCGTGCATTCCCAGGGCCCTCACCCGTACGTTTCTATGCWAAAKAATATGCTCCGTTCCATTCCCATCCCCTCGTTTGCTTGTTTCCTCGTCCGCTGGCCCGAGCGTTCCTCGAACCAAYGCAGCGTTGSGACGCCCGCATGMTCGGGAACCCCACCCGTCGCCTCGTTTCGTTTCTTWTTCTTATTGGCCTTCGGGGGCKGGGGAAAAGTATTGGACGTATTTGTCTTTCTGTTGCATCGTGATCATTTGGTTGTAGAGGCCCAGGTCCATGTCCGTGCCGAGCTCGCGGCGAATAAAGGCCTGGYGGGGATGCCAAACGCGACAATCGGGMAAKGCAACCAGGCAAGGCRACCACAGGCGAGAAAAGACGAGACGAGACGAAAGGAATCGGAATTTGAATCGACGGTGTTGTGTGAGAACAAASTCAAGCTTTCGACCATCTGGCAACGCGGTCGAGAAAACAACGRGGAAAGAAAGAAAACGCAACACCAGCCCAACACGASAACACACGACAACACRCSACAACACCGCGKCACGCACCGTGAGCTCCGTCGGGCCCGAGGCCTGCCCCATGATCTCCACCACCGTGTTGGGATCGACGATCAGCCCGCCGCTCCCGTCCTCGGTGTCGTCCGCCAGGTGCTCGGTGACCAGGCGGACGCTGGAACCGTCCGCGGTGCGGATCGTGTCGTGCGCGACGACCTGGCCCACCAGGCTGACGATCTGGTTCTCGAAGCGCCCCGACTGGAGCATCCCCCCGTTGACCCGCGCAAAGGCGCCGTCGATCTGGCCGCCGGCTTCTTCTTGCTGCTGGTGGTCTTCTTCGTAGTACTGCTGCTCGTCCATCCTGGTTGTTTTGGTCGCTGCTGTTGCTGTTGCTGTCGTTGGTGYTGCACGGATTGTTGCCGCGGCAAGTCTCTTGTTTGCAAGGTAGGCTGGAATTTGGTTGTGCGACTCGTCCGACGGGTTTCTTCGTACCGTRCAAMAGAATACGGCAGCAGTACCAAGAAGGCGAGGGCGGAGTACAGTACTCGTACGTACAAGTACACAGAACAAGTAAACCGTACAACCGGCGCGGTTCGTTTTCGATCTTTCGGAACCAAAAATGCGGCATTTTTTTTCGTTTCGATGCGCGCCAAATTTTTTGCCGTCTGGCCATTACTCGGTAATCCCGGATTGCCGAGAGTTTCCGAGATTTATTCGACTCACGCGACTYATCCACCCCCTCCCATGACCATCATCTCAAAAACAGCTTACCGTACGGTACGTACGATACGGAAGGAACCGTACAACGATAGAGCAGTCTTCGTTATGATCCAATAAACAGAAGCGACGATCGAAATTGACAATCGACAATAAACACCTCCGACTGGTTATGGCGAAGGGATAATTTGTATCATTCCACCAACAAATTSAACAGAGAATCATTCCTCGCAGCGCAGAGCATCAAATAATASTCACGGGGAGTAGGTGACGCTATTCGAGGGTGAAAAAAGGAAGCACGCAACACAAAAMCAGCAAACGTGCCGCAGCCCCGAAACAAGCACACACTTCGAACCAAATTGTTCTCGGATTCGATTTCGGCAGCCGATCGACTACAAAGATCCATCTACGGAGACATCTATATTTGCACCCACACGCACACAACACACATCAAAATCACAATAATCCACCATGGCCAGCCTCGCCAACGTCGAGCACCGGAACCAGGAGGCCACGGTATACGTCGGAAACCTCGACGCCGTTTGCACGGAAAAGATCCTGCTCGAGCTGTTTGCCCAGGTCGGAAGGGTCAAGTCGGTGTAYATGCCCACCGACAAGATCACCAGCACGCACAACGGCTACGGCTTCATCGAGTTCCTGGACACGCAGGACGCCGAGTACGCCATCCAGATTCTCAACATGATGAAGTTCTACAACCGCCCGCTCAAGGTGTCCAAATCGAGCCTGCACAATTCCAAGACCGACATGTGGTCCAGGGACGTTGGTGCCAACCTCTTCGTCGGCAACCTGGACCCGGTCGACGTCGAYGAGCACCTGCTCTACGACACCTTTGGTGCTTTTGGAACCCTCATCAAGCAACCCAAAATCATGCGGGAGGAGGACACGGGCGAATCGAAGGGCTTTGGCTTTGTCTCCTACGATTCCTTCGAGGCGTCCGACACGGCCCTCGAGTGCATGAACGGACAGTACCTGGGAAACCGGCAGATCGTGGTGCAGTACGCCTTCAAGAAGGACACGGCAGGGGGCCAACACCCCGGGGGGAACCCCGGCGGCTCCCACGARCGGCACGGCTCGAGGGCCGAGCGCATGCTGGCGGCCCAGCGAAACTCGCGGAGGGAGGAGCAGCGGGCGCAGGGCGGTGGTTCCGCGGGCGGGCCCCCTCCCGGCCGGGGGATGCCCCCTCCGCCTCCCCCGGCCGCGCCCGGGGGTGGGTTCGGGGCCTACGGCCGGGGAGGATACTACCCGCCGGAGCAGGGCGGGATGATGCCCCCGCCGCCGCCGCCGATGGTGGGAGGAGGGATGAACCCGATGGGAGGCGGCGTGCCACCGCCTCCTCCTCCRCCCCCGCCGCCACCCATGATGCCACCGGGGTAAGTGAACGGAACCCCCAACATACCGATGGCGGAGGGCGTTGTCCGGAAGGCGTCCTTTGTGGTTTGTGTTTGTTTGTTTGGGAGATCGGAGCTGTCCATCTCCGGTCCTCCCCGCGTGCCACATCGTGTCCGAATGCCGGTGTCCCCGCCGCTCGCAGAACCATTTGCTCGTCACTCCAACCCAACCTAAAACAATTCCCAAAACACCCGAGYCATGGCACGCATCCCTCCCTAACCACCTTTCTTCTTTCCCTTCTCTATTCTTCTTCTTGCGTTGCCCAAACACAGACACGGGATGGGGGGAGGAATGCCACCGCCTCCTCCGCCGCCACCTCCACCGATGGGAAATTCCGGGATGCCGCCCCCACCACCGCCCCCTCCTCCGCCACCGATGGCGATGCAATAACGAAAGTGGCCAACTCGAAGYAAATGGAAACGAGAACACTCGCAGATGGAGTTCGACACGAAAATATTCGACACGACAGGGCACGACACGACACGACACGACAYAATACTTTTCTACTGTGTAGATACTGTGGAATGAAWAGCACAAAAGAGGAATCTCTTGGTTGGAGGAGAAAGACAAGAAAAATWGGCGTTGGCGTGATACACTGTAGGTGGAGAAGGTGAATCAAACTCAATCGATCCYMGCAAAAATGTATTGAAGATTGSAAGTGTGTCACAATAGAAGGGAAAGGGTAGGGCAAGGGGAAATTAGGGGCAGCTTGGTGATTCTTCTGTATTTAGATGRTGTTTGGGAATTTGTGGTTCGGAAACAACGGAAGATGCAAACCGGATCTGTCAAAGTACGCAGGAAACGAAAGTCGATCCGCGTTTGGCTCGATCGGATGTTTCAACGAATCTCTTCAAATACCATTGTTTCTGAAAAGCTTTGCTATTTCATTGGTTGGCCTCTCGTGCTGATTATCACTTTCGAAAATAATGCAAAAAACAATGCTAGTGAAAGATTTCCGGAATGTGCCGTAAAGTACATGGCAGGCTTGTTCACTTTTTGAACCATTGCTGAAGCTTTAAGGATTGTCGTATGAGGGTACTATCCATTAGAAATTAGAAGATCTTGTCTGTCAATTGACGGCTAGGTTGGCAGTCAGAGAACTTCGAATCGTCCTAGGTAGGTCTATGGTAGGGTGATACATGATTCTATGAACGTTTAAGAAAGAAATTGTTTATTAAAAAATTTAAAAAAGAATACCACTCGCCGACTCCCATATGAGTCATSGCGTGAAATGATTTCGGCTATTTGGCTTTGGTTGCATTTGTCAGTTTAGAAAAAGCCAAACATGTTTTTCTTCTTTTTTGGCTCGTCCTTCTTCCCACCCTTGAGCGAGCTAACATTGGGAGCCTTGTAGTTCTTCCCAAACTTGGGCGCGGCGCCCACAACGGTCTCCGATGGGCCGCTGCGGCCGCGTTTTCCGGTCCAATCGAGTCCCTGGCCCTGGCCAAAGATGCTCACGCTCTGCTCCTTCTTGTAACCGCCGTCGGAATAGTCCTTGTCGGATTTCAGCCATCTCTTCTTCTTGGMACCTTTCACGTCGGTGTTGTCCCAGTTTCCACCCCGTTGCATGTAGGGGATGTCTTCGGGCCTCAGTTCCCCCTTCCTCACTTTTTCCTTGGCGTTGAAGACGGGCATGAGATGGGTCGCCTCGCCCCTTTCCATCGCTTCCTGGAAGGATTGCATCGATCGGCTCTTGAACCCCCGGGGGCCGAGGCCGCCGAGATTTTTCTTTGCCTTGGCTTTCTTGGCTTCGTCGGCCTTGAATTTCTTGTACTCCTCGGGTGTGAACCCGGAGGGAACGTAGCCGTAGAGACTTGTACTAKAAGCAGTGATGTGTTTGTTGTGAGGCCGTTGCTGGAAGGCTTCGGTAACTATTACACCAACACAGGCCAGAGCCATCAAGGTGGCGATGCGGGAGACGGTCTTCATCGTGCTGTATTTCGGCTTCGCTTCTTCTCCGGTTTCCAAGGCGGTCAGCGACACTGGTACCGGTAGATCATCAAAAAATAATAATGAGGCACTTCGAGAAAAAGGTATCTTGTCTTCTCCACCACTTCTTTCGGCTTCTCTGTTGTGTACTCTGCCAGGTACGAACTGGTACGTTGAGTTACCACACGCTGCCGTTCTTCTCTCGGAAACAAGCCCAGTTTTCGAAATTCCGACGGCGTCTCCCAATTTTTCGCACCGACTCCCGATGATGACATCACGAAAAAGGCGTTGAACTTTTCGAGTGTCAGTGCCACGCATGTGAAGTCAGAAAATAAATCCCAGACTTGGATATTCGCGAGGAGAAAAAATGAACGCTGAGAGAAAGATGAAGAGCAGAAACACAAAAGGTCCGTCCGCCAACCCCAATAGAACAGTAGGTACGTACTATATGTACTAATTATACGTACGTACCGGCAGAAAGGCAGGGATCATAATTTTTAATTTTATACCCATCGCTGGGTACGAGTACCGGGTACGAGTACCGGGTACGAGTACGTACGTATGTTACTATTTACGATACAATTTAGTACAGAAGTACAAGTGCTTACTGTATTAACGAGTATTGACGAGTAAGCTAGTGCTATTCCAAAGAAGATACACAACTGTACCAGAAAACTAAAAGCTACTGTTGATCGTTTGTATCGTACATTCGTACATTCGTACTCTACAGGATACAAGTACTAAAAAAACTTACTTTAGTAGTATTAGTCATWCGTAATCGTACGTACATATCATACCATAATAGTGTGGTTGCACCTTGTACCGCCTTGTACATTGTACGTCGWCCTCTCGCTCGGCCGCGGCTTCGAATCTTGTTTAATCACTGCCTGATCGGCATTCATGGCTACTCCTATTTTTATTTTTGGCTCCATATTCGATGAAAAAAATCGCAAGAAGAAATTCAAATTTCAAAATGCATACGGTACATATTGTAAGCAGTATCAGAACTAAAGATCTCACGTACCATGCATGTAATCTAGGAATTGGAATAAGGCGGGAATTCGAAACAAGAAATACTGCTATTTGCTTCCTGCARTTTTACAATGTGACTACAGTGCAAGGAAGGTATCGTATTTGCCGTACCGTATTTTYAGCCCAGAACATCAGATTTCASTAGTACTACATTCGTAMCGTAGCAAATRATTTGTTTGGTTGAAGTGTGGATTAAGACGAGACATGTATTATGGAGTGAAGAAATTCACTCTTCTTYTAGAGTCCGACAGAGCTCTTRACATTGGTGACGGAGTACAAAAGATTACTAATCCTCTCTTYGTCCTCTCAACCTKCTGGGTATTGAGAAMAAATGATTCGTTTAGGCCTAGAACTATGTCAGCKTTTTGTCGTGCTGACAAAAGAATGGATTACCGAGAAAAATAWCATGYGAAAGTAAAGAYAATATTTTKTGTTTTATTTTATTTAATGTTCTCCGTGTAGCGGCTGCAGAAGTACCAATGGATCTGATCMGTTGTGAAAAGATTGGATCATTCATACCTCCGATAACAAGGCGCCCACGTTTTTTAAAGCCTACTATACAAATATGGGGATTATGAGATATGTGTGCCATCCGAACAATTCAACTCGATGACAACACATGACATAAGTCATTGGTCCTCCCCTTCGCATCACAATTCGTTTCCAAGAACAAAACAAACRATGCATGAAGGGTTCGATCCAAAAGTAGTTTTGGATCGATAAAAAATCGTCGTCATCAGCTGTCATTGTYTATGAGCCATGCTCGTTTCTTTCCTTCAGTGGGACTGCGAGTAGAAGTGAAAATGCCAGGAAAAAGGATCGAGTTAGCTCGTGCCCACGTCAAACGAATCAAATTGTAAGGAAAAGAGATCGCCTTATCATTGCATAGAGAATACGTACCTTCTCAAGTTTTTCTCTGTCGTCGTAGTG